CAAATATAAGAATTATTATATTACTTATATATATTAGCTTTTTCCTGTTTAAAAATTGTAGCAGAAATATTTTTTAAAATATGTAACTATGCTATTGTGTCACATATATTTTATGCTGTATTTCACATTGCATATATCAACAGTATCGTCATTTTTGTCCCAAGGGGTAAGTTATTAAAATCTTATCATCTTGTCTTGCAAATCCCTAGTACTTAATATACTTCTATTCAGGTAAAAAGCCACACTTGCCCATTTAATGGTATTAATATATTGTTTAAAATAATGTACGTAAAAAGGGAAGCTGTTTGTTTTGTGGGATGGGGGAAGGAAAGAAGCAGAGCAAGAGCGAATTCCATTTCAAGAAAACTGAGTCGGGGGTCTTCTGTTTGCCAACTGTGTGTTTGATTGGGTTAGGTCAGTTTTCCTCCCAGGCACCAAGTGAAATTGTGAAGGATCTGCCAGGCAGTTGGCCAGAGGAAGACTGCAGTGGTGCTCAGGCTCCTGCCCTCCCTGCTGGTCCAGGGAGCTGGGCGCTGATTGCTCTGGTGGTCTCTACAGACTGGTGGTTTTCCAAGAGCTGCCTGATGGGCTATTCATACTGCAAAAGCTCCCCTGAAATTTCCTGGCAATTTAATATCCTGTCCATATTAACAAATAAAATCTATGAAAAATACTTTTTCCATGAGAATATTGTCACAGATCAAACCTCCTCACCAGTTCTATTTTAAAATGAATTAGTGTTGCTCCTTTTTTAGCACCTGGAAGGGATTCTGTTGGTTCCTTATATACACACACATACATTATTAAAGATTTATACTTTGAAGTTAGGATTCAAGGCATGTTCTTAGGTTTCATTTGTTGCACAGTTTCCTTTCCAATCTTTAAATGTTGTATTTTTAATGAATTATATACAGGTGCTAACTGTGAAGTAGTAGCCAGTTAATACAAGTAAGAGAAAGTAGTTTGAAGTACAAAGCGTGTTGCTTTTTATCTATTTCTCTGGTCATACAGCCAGCACTTTTAGACGAATGTTGTGTTTGCTGTTTACTGGAAAAAAATTCCAAATCTGCTTTCTCAAACGGGAAAAACCTGACTGATACAAGTGTATCTCATTTTTGTCATCATTCGAGTTAAAGAAATGTAAAATTTACAGCCAGTGTGACTGCCTCCGACGCTGCGTTCTGTATTAGAATTGGTAGGGGTCTCCTAGACATGTAAAGGCCGGGCAAAATAGTGAGATGGCACTTTTGAAGAAAAACTGAATAAAACTCGCAGTGTTGAAGTAACAGTTTGTGTAGCAGACATTTAAAACTGTAAATATTCCGTATTTTATTCTTCCTCTATATCCAGTTTTAAAATGCTTTCCAGATGGACACACTGTGTTGTGTGTGTTCACACTGCTTGTATGTGCTCATTTCCCTGAGTCGTTGAATTAACCAAGTATTATTTTTAAATTTTTTTTTTTATTATATTATTTTGAATTTAAGTGGGCTCTAGCAAGCACATCCAGTGCAGTTAGGTGAGCTGAAAATCAAGCAGGGCAAGGGTTAAAACAATCATGCCTTCATTATTTTCCCCCTCTTGTTATAGGGCGAGTGAATTCAACTACTCTTACTTTACAAATTGTCCGAGAACAGGGGTTTGTTGGAGACATTGCCATTCAGCTGAGCACTGCGCCTAACTTTGAACTCCCCCTCTCCAACCAAGCAACAGAGAATGAGGATTATATACTAGAAAAGAAGACAATCATTATGGTAGAGAACGCAACAATAACTTCTGTTGTAGTCACTATTTTGCCTGTGAGTAGTCTAAGAACAACTTCAGCTAATAAAGTCTTTTAAGGAAATGGAAAATGGTACTGTTTCTATACCAGAAGTAGGATTTAGCATTATAGAAATGGCTAGGGTGGGATTTTTGCCTCGTTGGATGATTGTATATTAGTAAGAATTGCAGCCATCTCTTTCAAAAGCATTCAAGTACTCATCACTGAGAATGAACCAAATTCTTTTTTTTGTTGTTGTTGTAGTCCCAAAGTTAACATAAAAATGACAAAGGAAAAAATTAGAAATGTTTTAGATGCTTGCTGGTTTTTCAACTTGTTACATGTTTTTCCAGAGGATTTATTTTACTTTACATGCCTCTTAAGAGATTTATTTTGTAGTTCAGGAAATGTTATTTTTTTCCCCAAAAGTATCTATATTCTTTAAATATATTCAGGATGGAGGTATTTCTTTTCAAGTTCTGGTTTAGTTTCTTATTTCTTATAAATAGGAGAAACAAGTGACAGTCAGCAATACTTTCCACTGCTCCTACAGATCTGGAATCTGACTGCCAACTTCAGTTTCTAAAGCTCAGCAAAGGTAGTTTTTTCAACCTTTCGTATGGTGTGAAGCAAGGGATTGGTTATGTGGTCCCAAGTACTGAGGATGTTTGAACAGTAAGCAACCTACAAGTAGTCAGCTTTCTGCATGTATTGTAACTTAGAGTGTTTTATTTAGAAAGTGACATTTTAAAACATTTTTGCAGGACAACGTTCCAGAATTACAGGAAGGATTTGTAATAAATGTTACTGATGTGCAACTGGTCGATTCTCCCACTGGAGGGCAGCCAAGTGTGAAGAGGCTTGGGTTCGAAATAGCTGAAATAACAATTGAAGAAAATGATGATGCCAGAGGAATATTTAGTTTCAGTGTTACAAAGGTAAGTAAGTCTGAATGAAAAATATTTGAAGTAGCATTCTAGCAGGAGAGTCTGTGTTTTTAGACCAATTTTGGTAGTGTTCTAGTAGGCTTTATACACTAAATTGTTCTGGTTAAAAAAGCCAGCTAACAGACAAACAATGCCTTCGTAAAAGGTTCTCACAATTAATATATGAAATTTATTAGGGACCTGGAAGTACTAAAACTGGTGTTATAGAATATTCTGAAAGGGACCTCAGGAGGTCATCTAATCCAGACTTTTGCTCAGAGCAAGGTCAATGCTAGATTCAGAGCAATTTACAAATTATTATGTATTTCTTAATTTATTTTTACCTTAAAAAAAAAAAAAGATAAAAAAAAGGTTTCTGCGACACTCAGCAGTTTCTTGTTGAATTCACAGGATGTAACTGGAGCTGTTGCTGGTTATGAGGTACCACCACCCCAGAATATACTGAAACTTCCAGTTATTCGACAGGCTGGGAGGTTTGGGTCAGCAACTCTGTATTGGGAAGCCATTCATTCAACTGCTAGCTTTGAAGATTTCACACCATCATTTGGAAACCTTACATTTGCAGATGGGCAGGTATGCACTTGCTGAAGGTTTAACTGTCTCTGGGTTACCAGCTTAAGAGTTTCTCATGTTTTCTTACATAAAATTTGCATCTTTTAATTGAAAACCTGTTATTTATGGCTTATGTATGTGAATGATGCTCCTTTAACATGGAAACACAGAATGTTCATAAGCATTGACCAAATAGGGTCATGTATGCCTTTGGTACCTCCACAAGTGAGGACATAATTTCTAGTAATAAAACCTGTTACACTGAAAATCTGTAACATAACCTGTCTTCTCTACAAATTCTCAGAATAAGCCTGTATGTTTTCTTAGCTGTGTTCTACGTACAGTTTTGAATTTCATGCTGCCCCTGACAATACTTAGTGTACACAAGGTGTTTTGATTTCAAAGAACTGGTCTTTGGCACATAGCAGGATATATTTTGTGAGCAGAATTTTGGCTTAAGTACAGTATTGTCAACCTGCACTTTCTACTGGGTACCAAAGCAGAGCAGTCTGCTAGTTTTAACATAAAAGATTTACACTGATAGACTTAAAAACCACGCCTGAAATGTTGTTATCTTATTATAGATAGAAAAGTACGATAGGAAGTAAGCAGAACTGAACAATGTGTGTTTATCTATTATTAACTAAAATTTACCTATTTTAAATTTCAGATTTTTTAAACATTTCACAGAATATTATAAATGAAACCTTGTTGCTTTTTTTTTTTTTTAACAACTTCTGCAGGCTACAGGAGAAATAGAAATTACGATCATAGATGACAATGAAGTTGAATTCCTTGAGATATTCAAGATTTCCCTGGTGAGGGTAACAGGTGGAGCAAGACTTGGAGATGAGACCCTAGTAACTGTTGCTATTCCACCAAATGATTCCCCTGTTGGAGTATTTGGGTTTCAAGAAAAGAATGTGAGTTTGATTTGGATTGCACTCTTTTCTGCTAAAGCTGGATAGTGGGTTTGTATTGCTAACACATTGCTGATTTTGGTAAGCCTTCATTGCAGGGGAAGACATGAATTCATTGAAAGGCATATTAGTGCTTGTCTTCATCTGGTTATGTAGGATGGAAATAATGAAAGTGCTGCTGCATAGATGTAGAATTCTGCATGACTGAATTGATTTAATTCAGTATACTAACAAGTCAGGACATCCCAGGTAGGATTTTTGGTAGTCTGCTGAATATTAGAATGGTTTTGTTGTAATCTGTATTACCGAAAGTAAAGTTTGGAAAAAAATTATGAAATGTATCTCATCTTAGTTCTTGTCAATGAACGATTCTTCTGCTCTTCATTTTGCTGGTGCTGTGCCTGCTTGTGACTCATTGTCTGTAATTGTTTTGAGTCACGGGGCATACAGAAATAACACGAGTGACTAATCTTTGCTAACAGAATTCAACACATTCCTTACATCTGTTATCTTCCTGTTGATTTTGACTCTTGGCCTTATTTTACATTGTCATTGATAATGTTTTTTGTTATTTATCTCAAGTCAGTATTGATGCCTTTTGCTACAGCCTTTCCTACTTCTCCTTTCTCTTTCTTCATCAGGTGACAGTGAAGGAACCTCAGACACTTGATGACTCTGCTGCAGTTGTATTGCTCACTGTAAGTCGAAGTCAAGGAGGACAAGGAGCAGTTAAGTTGTTATGGATTCTTGAAGAAGCAGCAAGATATGATCTGACCCCTCTGAATGGTACCCTTCACTTCAATGAGGTATTTCTGATACTGCAATAAATTATTTATTGTCAGATTTATAAATATTTTCTTCTTATGTGTTTGTGTGGTTGTTATGTACTCATAGAAGTAGGGGTTTACTAAGTATTATAACAGTAGGAAAAGGCTAGTTTGAACTGGTGGGGTTAGCAGTATGCAGTGTTTTTTCAAACAGAAAAGGAAAGCTGACTTGCTTTTTTTGAGGCAGCATAATGTAATCATCAGGAAAATAGGCTCTTCAGATCTGAATTGATTTTACAATTAAGAAAGAGGAATAGAATTGTAGTGAATGTGAAGAATGATTACAGAAACATTTATTCCATTGTATTATCAGACAAATCAAAGAGAAAATTGATATTGAAAGGGTGAGAGGGGTAAATGAATGCTCAAAATTCACAGATTTTAAAAATAAATAATAACATACCCCAGTGACTTTCGAACTGGGCAGTGTTATTTGATTTGTGTTTCATGGCAGGTTAAAACTCTGAAGTAGGAGCCTAAATATTGGATATTGTCAAGCTATTGTTGTTATCTTAATATTGGTCTTTTATAGTCTACTCAAAATATTTAATGAAGAAAAGTGTTTTAATATAAAGCATAATCTATTCTGTCTCTACAGGGCTATTTTGCATTAAATAAATAGGCATACTGGTTGTTTCTTTTACTTCTAATCATCTGGAAAACAGCTTTTTTGGTTAGACCACCAGTATTTGGCAAAGTTTTGCTATCGTTTTGCTATCCTCTTTCTACTGATAGGCCTGGACATTGTTTTTTCTTCCTGAAGTTCTTATCTATGCATACATGTGAGAATACAAGTATGTATGTATGTTGTACTAAAATTAAACAATGTGTACCTACTTTTTTCCTGTATTCTTATTTTAAGGATTTGCTGCTGCCCACTGACAAAAACATAGATTAGACAGGAATTTGCTATGACCTAATATATCTAATCATAATAAAGTTAATCCTTAGAATGTATGTATTCCATTGAATATGCACTTTCTGCTGGAAATGATTTTGTATAAAAAGTTTCTTATGTAATTTCAATCATTGTTCAGTTGAGAATAGCCAGGGTGTTTTTGGGGTGGCACGCAATGTTTGAGAGACAATTTTTGCTATTTAGTAATCTGTGAGAAAACATTTCAGCCAGACCAGAAGTGTCATATTTAAAAAATATTACAGAATATATCAAGCATATGCATGCTTAACATTTGACTTGTTAAAGAAGAAAACCCTTTTTATAAAACCATGTTTTGTTTAGTTTTGCTTAATGTGTATATATGTATTTTCTGGTCTTTATGTGATGCAGACGGAATCCCAGAAGTTGATTGTTTTACATGTGGTACAAGATGGTTTACTGGAGGGGAATGAAACATTTACCATTCAGCTAGTCTCTACTGGTGATGCAGAGATATCCCCTGTAAATGGTAAAGAATTAATTCATTACATTCTGAGACATTTCATATAAGAATTCTAGTAAATCTGTTCATATTATTTTAATCTGCAATGCTTATATATTTTGTGTGCAGTTGGTAGCAGTTTTGACTTTCGGTCTTTTTCCCCAAGTTGTTTCCTTGTCTGGAGAAATCAAAGAGAATTTTAGATCATGGTTTTTTGTTCTAAATTAATTATTTGTGTAGACTTTTGTGTTCAGATAGTTAACATTGTCTGTAAAGGATTCTTTATCAAAAAGAAGCAAAAACCAAAACCAGGTTCAAACCTGTAAGAATAATTTCATTTGTAAGGGACCATCTGGGGGGGGTCGTCTAGTTTAAAACCCTGCTGAAGAAATGAGACTACACAGTTAGGTCAGGTTGCTGAATGCCTTGTCCACTCAAATTCTGAGTATCTCCAAGGATTGTGATCCATGGGCTCTCTGGGAAGCTGGTGCCTAACCATTCATATCACAAAATTTACAAAAGTTAGCTCATTAGTTAATTTTCATTTACCGTGAGATTTGTTCTTTTCATAGGTGTTGCAACCATCATTATTGTGGGTGATGAAGGAGCTTCTGGGGTGGTTGGGATCGCCCATTCATCCAGGCATGTTCTGATTGGAGAACCCTCAGGAAATTATAACGGAACTGCTCTTATTAGGTGGGTACATCACTCATTATTCCTAAGGAAAGGCATCAGCTCAGTTTCAAAAGCTATGAGACTCTACATTTGGCAAGAATTTCTTGAGTGCTGTATTTCATTATCACTTCAGAAATTAGAACTATTTTTAGAATTAGATAAGTTTTTTAAAGAGGGACGGAATATACTATGTATGTGTCTTTTCAGTGTTACCGGGGACCTCGAAATATTCCTCTCAGTTGTCAAATTATTTACATAATTTTTATTATGTAATAAATAAATTATTATTTACTGATGCGTTAAAGGGAAGATGATTCCAATCAAGGGAAGAAGGGAAGGGAATCAATGACATTTGCAGATGCTTTGGTGCTTTTCAGGATTGGTGCCTGAACTGTATTTCAATATATTGCTATAATGGCTGGCATAACCAAAGTGGTAACTGGGTTTTTAGTTGCAACAAGATGCAATTATTTCACTGCATTCAGTCAACTGAAAACAGGATGAAAAAATGAAGCTGTTACCATATCTTGTAAGAGCATTGGAAAAAAGCATTGCGACACTTTCGCTTGGTGAACTAGCAAATAAAAGCAGCAGAACAGCATCTCATGCTGCCCTGCGAGGCCCGAAAGACAAAGTGATGCTTTGTGCAGCAGTAGCAGATTGTGTAGTATGTTGTGTTGGGTATAGAGAAATTTTTGCCATGACTTTGTGCACCAAGACTGATGTAATGAGTAGGATTAGGCTGTAGGTTTTTAGACAAGTAGATTTGAGACAACATTTCTCAAGCAATATCGTAGTAGTATTCTAGTCTCCTTCTGCCTTAAAAAACAAACTGCCTCTGGGCATTACCATTAAGTCCCATTTCCCTTCTCTTTTGTATATCTACCTCTGGAACAGCAGACTGGAACCAAGAGAGCTCATTTTCAGCCCCCATGGGCTACACGTGCAAAGAAACTTTAAATACCTCGCAGTAGAAAGACAGCTCAAGATGCCTCCCAACACAGGGAAATAAAACAGAACTGCAGGAATGTTATTGCTCTGAGGAGGGATTTGTAAAGATCTTAATAGTGACTTCAAAACTCAAGCTTCACAGTGCTGATAACATTTCTTTTATGCACAACAGTATGCTATACTGTCTCTCTTTGGATTGGATACTAAATATGAAAGATAGAAAATAAAATCCATGTTTATGTTCTTACCTGCAGCCTGATACGTGGCCCAGGGATTTTTGGTGAGGTCCTAATATATTGGAATATCACACCTCCTCATCACACAGAATTTACTGAGACATCGGGGATTTTGACAATGCAAGATAGGCAGTCTGGAGCAGTTGTTCTAATACAGGTACACAAGATGTTTTACACCAGTAGCTATTTCAAGTACTTCCTTTTATTTAGTTAGTATCTTGGTTAGAAATTAGTTATACTTCTCTCCTTGGAAATGGTTTGAAGTCCTTTTAGTGTTCATTGGTTCTTCTCCCTAGGCTGTAGATGACAACCGTCCTGAGGAGAAGCGTTACTACCAGTTTCAACTAACTGGAATCAGCGATGGAGGACTCATAAATGAATCTAGCAGAACAGCAAATATTACCATGGCCGCCAGTGATTTTCCATATGGAGAGTTTACATTTTCATGGGAGCTATTGCAAACAACAGAAGAAGAAAAATGGGTATCAGATTAAAATTCCTTCTTATTTAAAATATTAATAGATATCACTATTGTTGCTAGATTTATGCTTAATTTTAGAAAAAAAAATCAAAGATTTATTCTACATTTATCACAGCACAGTCTTCAGAATGGCTGTCTGAGGCTTTTGCAGTTTTTTAATGCTCTGAGAAAGAAGGCTATCTGCTAAGTTATGTGTACTCTGTACTTATTAAAGCAAATTGTTGTGACCTGACAGAACCATTGAAAAAATGCCTTTAGAACAGTCTCCTATAGGCAACCGTGTCAGAAGAGCAAAGCCATTTTTTAAAGAAA